GAGAGGGGCGACCTAGGGGTTGGAGGCCGACTTAATACACCCCTTTGTCGGCCCCTCAAGCGCGAATTCTGGAGGTGATGGAAAAAGAAATTCATGACAATGTCGTCAGATGGCCCAAGACGAGAAAGGACGGACCAACAAGACCAAAGAGTAACCTATACTGTCGGTTCCACAAAGACTACGGTCACAATACTGACGACTGCAGGCACCTTAAGGACGAAATCGAAAGGCTAATTAAGGCAGGACACTTGAAGGAATTCATATATAAGGACCGGGAAATGTCGAGAAGAAGGAGGGAAAGGAGCAAGAGCTTTCGCAAGAGGGCGAGAACGCTAGAGAAAGAGGATCTCCCACAGAAAAGGGGAACCATACATATGATATTTGGAGGATCAACTGATGGGGATTCGAATCGAGCAAGGAAGGCGTATGCCCGAGGGCGCCATGGAAAAGTCGAGATACAACAGGTCGATGAGAATGGACCGGTAATAAACTTCGGCCCGACAGATGCGGGAGAAGTTGAGAGGCCTCAAAACGACGCATTGATGATAACAGCCCAAATATCGGGGTATGAAGTGCAGAGAGTGTTTGTCGATACTGGGAGTTCCGTAAATGTGATTTTTTACGATTGTCTCAAAAGGATGGAACTCGACATATAGCTCACACCCCTTCATACCTCACTATTCGGTTTCAACGGGTCAGAGGTCGCCCCTCTAGGCGAAACCATGCTCACTGTCGTTCTAGGGGAAGGTGACTTGCGGAAGGTGAAAATGGTGAGATTCGTGGTGGTTGATGTCGAGTCAGCTTACAATGTGATTCTGGGGAGGCCAGCACTTAACACATTCCGGGCGGTAGTATCGACCTACCATATGAAGCTAAAGTTCCCAGTCGGAGACCAAGTTGGAGAAGCTCGAGGCGATCATAAGCTGTCGAGGACTTGTTATCAAATCGCTGTAAAAACCAACCAACGGGCCGAATTTAGGGAGGGAAAGAAGCCAATGATGAACGAGAAAAGGCCAAGGAATAGTGATCTCGAACCCCACGGGGAGCTAATGGAAATAAAAATCGGAGAAACAAAGGAACAGACCACTAAGGTCGGGAAAGATCTGAAAGTCGAGCTACGAAACCAGCTGATCGCACTACTAAAGGAGTTCAGGGATGTCTTTGCCTTCACCCATGAGGAGTTGACAGGGATCGACCCCGCTATTATGGAGCATAAACTCAATGTCGACC